ATCAAAACATGCTTTCTAGAAGTAGAACTTAATTTCAGCCAGTTTAATTGAAATAGAATTCTCATTTATGTCAATTTTCTAGAAGGTATTGCCTTTCTGGTCAATATTATCCAGCTTTTTGTATTCTCAGAATATTGTCTCTGTCCCCTAAGTGATAGATAACTGAAATGTCTTTTTTGCTAACCACATTTTACTCTAAAGTCCATTGTTTCTGCTTCCAGTGCCAGGAAGGCAGATTTTATCCCCAGTGTTTTTTGTTCAATCGTCTCTTCCACTTGTTTACATTGATTGCTTTCTTTCTATGTGAATATACTTTCATTGTCCTCAGACGTATAATTTTATCAGACATGTAATTAAAGCTTTCTTTGTCTATGGTAGACCTCCCAAACACATTTTATGCAGATATTAACAGCACACCTCTAGAAGTCATTGGCTACGTCTACACTACGAGTTTTCTGGCAAAAATATGCTAATGAGGGACCCATTTGCATGAGTTGATCTCATTTGCATTTTTCTGCTGATCCGTTGTTTCGCTGGGGTTTTGCACAAAAACAAGCAGTGTGGACATTTTCTCTTTGTGCAAAAACCCCTTTTTTGGCAAGATCCTTATTCCCTCCCCCAAAAGTTTTACTGATCTTGCTGAAAAAATAATGCTATGATGTAATCAATGCAGGGAGTAGGGAAAAAGGAAGAGAAAGCAATGGTTTAATAACATTTCAGAGTCTGTCTACTGAACTAACCAACCTCCCCCGCACACACAAAAAGCTCAAACTAGCTGGTGACGCACTTTCATGTGAAATTTTTACTTAAGTTCTTTCTGTATGTGGAAAAAAGCTAAGTTGCCAAAATCTCATAGAAAAAGAGCATTTAAGGGAGATAAAATAGTAGAAAGCAAAATGAGAGTTTTGTTACTTGTGCATAGCTCCTCTATCTTGCAAGTAGACCTTGGGTATCTATGGGGCAACCATAGATTCTTTGAACAAAAGTCTATAGTGTTTGCTATAAAATTGTGGCAGCAGGTTTTCCAGTTGAATTCTGGAAACATCATCTGGTCTACATTTAATCAGCAGCTGTAGAGATCTGTTACTGTTTATTACAGAAGTTGTAGATACAGTAGTTAATAAAGAAAAAGGCTAACCCAAAATATTAACAGACTTCTTCAGCATTTGTGAAGTTTGCTCTGGAGCATATGCTATAAGGCAACATTACAGCCTGTTTGTGTCTGACTCTTGCTTTTCCCTTCCTAGACAAACAGTGCAAAGTCCATGTTCTTGGGACACAGCCAGTGTTCCCTCTAAGCTGCGCTGGCAGCACAACTTCACAGGTGATTCATCAGGTCTGCCCTGTCAGAGGCTCAGAGGGAACACTGAACACAGCAGTTGTCTAAGTCCCCATATGTGGCCTCTGCTCCAGTATGCTACTCTGAGCAGAAATACTGCATGGTTTCTGTGCTGTGTAGGCCAATCTGCAACCTCTCTGCCCAAAGATAATTTATTCTGAGTGTAATGAATTTAATTACTGTTAACAAAAAAAAGGACCAGATCCTCATGTGATGTAAAGCAGTCTTGCAACAGTGATTTTGCAACAGAGCTGTGCTGATGTTCACTGCCTCACCATCTAGCCACTGATCTATAAGTCCATTACATCATCCTTAACTTTTGCTGCCCAAAAGTGAAAAGAAGCAGAGAATCAACTCTTACCAGTTTCCTTAGTGCTGAAATTTTTCAATTACATGCAAACTTGTGCCATTTTTATAAACAATAGTAATAAGAACATGAAAATAACATTCCAGGAAAACAATAGTTGCAATATTTCCATGCAAGTTGTTTTAACTAATTTTAACAGGCTGTTAGTCTAGATTTTGTAATTTCTCACTGATGGTGAAAACGTGGAATTAACTATGGAAGATAATAGGGATTGGTTAAAAAATAATTGCCTAAACTTCCCTTACGTATTTATCTACCACAGCAGGAGATTGGGGCAACGTAAGAGCATTACTAGACATGCTCCTTCCTCTAATGACACCTTCTTTGGTAGCAGCACTTCTTTTGCACTCGCATGGCCCACTGGAGTCTGGTTATGTTGACTATCAGCTAGAATCTGCCAAACATGGCATAAAGTGCTGTTTTGTTTTTGTTGTTTGTAAAAGCAGTGTGGCTAATTAAAATCTTCCAGCCTTGTTTCTGTGTGGGGAAACTAAGGATCAGATTCTGATAATCATACTAACAACATCTTGGTCTCTTACTCTTAATTACTTCAGTGGACCACTTGATGGCATAAGGATCTATTTAGGATGACAAACAGTTTTCATATCTGGCGCACAGTCTGCATGCCACCCACCTACTACTTCCCTTGTAATTGCACATCCTATCCTGTACTCTTTTTGTATAGTGTTTTAACTCCAGATGAAAATATATTTCCGTGAGATGTGAAGCAATTCTTGTGTATCTGTATGACTGCATAGAACTTCAGAAAGTGCGGGACCTTCTCGCTAAAATATACTATAAATGCAAGTCAACATTATCTTTTCAAGAAGTGTTTAGTTAGGAAATTGCTTTAAAAACCATAGGGTGGCTTTTAAAAATGAAATACTTTAATATTTACAATATTATTTTTTGAGTTTGTGCACAAATACTGTACTTAGAAAGCAAAGTTGGACCAAAGTTGTGATTTGGGATAGAGCATCAGCTCTGTACCCCACAACAGCACACATTGCAAAGATGTCATAAAAGGGTTCCTCTTCTTAATGGGATAGCCAATGAAAGAGTAAAAATCCCATCCTAAAATCTGTCATTTACTTTTCAGGAAAAAGAGAAGGATGGGGATGTATTTTAGATGTAGTAAAGCAACTAACCTGTACCTATAAAAGGTATCAGCCTTGATTTAGACCTGCCCTTCTGTTATAGAATAAGCTGCTAGTTAATAAACTAACTAGGTTGGAGCAGTGGTGAGAGATGTGGTCAGGCTTATTAAGAACTGCTTGTTTGACCCTGTAAGCTCTTTTTCTGGCTGAGAGAGACACATGGATGGATTTAAATGGATTACTGGTTAACTTAGAAATCTCTCATTTGGATCTCAATACAGATTCTTTAAAAAGAAGCATTAGTAGAATGGTATCAAAGGTGAAGTTACAATTTTTTGTACTAAATAAAACAGATGTGGACTTTCAGATTCCTGACACAAATAATAAAGTTTTGCTGTTGCTTTAAGAAAGAGTTGAATGACTATCATGACCAAGCAGACCTCTATTCAGAGCTTTCTAATCCTATAGATTTCTTTTTTAAGAGAAGGAAGATTTGTCTAGAGACTTAAAACTTTTAACAGGCTAATAAGACATTTCTTAACTTTGGACAACAGTATTACCTATTGTGAATAAACGAAGCTCAACTGTATGGTATACAGTGTTACTTTTCTCGGAATGCCATTACAGTACTTTGATCAATATATAGAATTGTTTGAACTCTGCTTTGCTTAAACGCCAGTATTTTTCTAGTTTGTTCCAAGTTCAGAAAAGATCTCCCTTTGTTGTTAGAGTTGCAAGGTAAAAGTTTTTCAAACTAACTTTAAAATATCAAATATATGAAGTGGATGCAAATAAGTGGAAAAATCAAAGGAATTAATAGGAAAATAGGTAAGTGCACATAGATTTAATGTGTAGTTAGTCTAAATGGGTATGTTTAGACTACATGCCTCTGTTGGCAGAGGCATGTAAAATAGGTTACCCAACATAGTCAATGAAGCGGGGATTTAAATATCCCCGACTTCATTAAAATAAAAATGGCCACCATGCTGTGCTGGCTCAGCTGATTGCCAGCACAGCGCGCGATTCAAGACGCGGATCGGTTGACAAGGGACGCCTTTGTCGACTGCTCCTGTAAACGTCGTTTTACGAGGCATAAGGTAGTGGTAGACAAAGGCATTCCCTGTCGACTGATCTGCGTCTTGACTTGCGCGCTGTGCCACAATCAGCTGAGCCGGCACAGCATGGTGGCCATTTTTATTTTAATGAAGCCGGGGATATTTAAATCCCCGCTTCATTGACTATGTTGGGTAGCCTATTTTACACGTCTCTGTCAGCAGAGGCATGTAGTCGAGACATACCCAATATGTCTCCCCTGCATTCTGGTATATTTTGTGCAGTTTCCACAGAAGGGTGTAACACATATGTCTTCCAGTAGGGCTGCTCATTCATCTTCACGTTATTACAGTTTTATGCCAGTGAAACTAGATTCAAATCACTGGTGCACAACTGGAGTAGAGCAATGGTGGATCACACCTTAACTTTTATTTTTGGTTCCTTTCCCATAGGGTATTTTAGTTCAGTGACATGAGAGAGAGAGTGAGTTAATTCAGTAAAGAAAAAGTAGATTAATAGTGTTTAGAGAATCTTTTTCACAAAATTGTAAATAATGTGAAAAACAGCATAGTAGAGCTGGGTGACTCCAATAGGCATACATATACTGCTTTGTTGATGTGAGTAGAAACTCAACTACTTGTTTCCGGATATATTTAAAAACTTGAAATACAAGCTGCTCTCATAATATTTAATTTGTAAATTGCCCAAATGGGTGCTTGTTTTCTCTAGATTTTTCCCTATTACTCCCATTACTACATTATCCAAGCAATGCTTAGAATATGATTTGCTCTGTTCTAGGCTAGTTCTTACCTTCAGTTTTTTAAGAATGTGTTTAGAAATAAATATATCCAACAAAGCACTCTTAAGAGGGAGAAATTTTGAAAAACAGCTTCGCTTTTCGTACTCTTTTGTATAATATGGCCCTTGAGAGCTGCTTCTGTTGCTTTATAGTTTAAAGGGGGGTGGAGGGGAGGAGAGAAGAAAGAAACCTTTCACTGGATTTTGTTTCTGGAACCTGAGAGGAGCAGCAGCTATTGGGTGTGGTAAACTCATGCAAATTACCTTTCCGAAACTGTCATGTATGCTCTGCTCTGTGCCTTTAATTTATCCTGCTGAGCTAGCTTCTTCTGGTACTATATCAGAGAAAGGAGAATATGGGAAAGGGTTAATTTCTTACTACCAACCACTGAAAGGCACATTTGCAATTGCTCCCAGTCTTGTCTTTCTTTTACACCTCATTCGCTCACTGCTGCTCTTCATTTCAAGGCAGATCCTTTGACCTAAGCAGATTATTGTGGACGCATGAAGGACACAGCAAGCTATCCCTGCTTTTCGAGGAGGAGATTTGGCTCCAAAATAGGACACTAAGCCTTTCAGACTTATGCTTATTTACCTAGTCTGCTGGATGCAGTGTCTCTGGGTGCTTAGTGGACTCTTGTGGAATCAGCCAGGAAACAAAAGCAGAAGTGGCAGCCGCTGCAAATGTGGGAGTCTGTGCCATTAAAGGGAAGCAGTTGCTAATAAGGGCCTGTGAGACTTAGGTTTCCTTGGTTTCCATGACAGTTATTAGGTAGCATAGAAATTGAATTGTCTCCCACAATGCTCTAGGGGGAAGCGAGGGGTGCTCCAGTAACAAGGCAGAGTAGTTATTACTTGTGGTAATTCTTCTGTCTGAGACTACAAAACTCTCTGGATTATTACATCGTGCAGTTTTTTTTCTTTCCCAAATGTGTTTTGCTTTACTTTTTTGATGGAAGACTCTGGCTTGTGCTACAGTATCTCAAATAATGTTTTCCCCCTTTTTATTTAGAAACTAAGCTTGGCAAAAGCCAGGATATGAACAATTATACAGATGGGCTGCTCAGGGGGAGTGAAGATATAAGGCATCCAATCAGGTATTGGCAACCTGCAGCACTGTCAAAATGCCCCTCCAACAGATTTCTGTAGTCCCAGCGCGGGAGACTGCCAGCAATGGGAGAAGTTCAGTGGGCAGAAACAAAGAGAAGAGCAAGCAAGTCCAGGTAAGAGGAAGATTTTGATTTGATACCATAGGAAAAGCCAATCCATGCTAGCTAGCATTGCTGTCTGCTCAACGGGATGTACTGTGCTATAGCTTTGGGCCAGCACTACACATGGTCACAGCATGCGTTAGTGGACTTAAACGGAATTCCTGTAACAAATATTATACTAAAATGCATCTCTGAACTATGGTGGGGGGTGGTGGTGGAAGGATTACAAATATTTAGAGATTATTATTGAAAAAGGAAGGTTGCAAATTTCAGGTCCAGTAGAATGTTAAACTCATGAGCTATATAGCCCACTAGTACTGAAATACGATGAATATTATTCCATGTAGATGTTCAGATTTTCAGACACTAAGGCAGTTTGAATATCTTAGTTTCTTGTTCATAGTTCTTGGTCAAAAGAGAATAGCTCTTTAAAGGAATACATAATAAATAGGTTAATGCTAAAGACTGTCTCACTAATAAGCATGTATTGTCTCTATATTAAATATAGGCACAAATTCTACAGCCTACAGACTAGTATACATTTTCATTAACAATGCATCCATTGTCCCCTGCCTTTCATGAAAAATATTAAAAAGCCACAAATATTTTTCTACCAGTATTAATAATCAGATTTACATAAAAATGTAAACATCTACACACATTGTTTCTAAGTTTTGAAAACTGTTCTTGGGTAGGCAGCTGAGATTCCAGTTTAAAATGCTTATCTGTAGTAGGTGATACCTTCTCAGCCTCGCTTTGTTTTGAAAGGTATCAGAAATACATGCTGTAGCAGCTAAATCTGTCCAGCACCCATAAACAATTTATGCTTGGTATATATTCCCTATTAAACTTTAACAAACAGTTTTTTCTGTTCTGGATGTTAATCTTTCTATTGGGGGGGAAAAAGGATGGTTCTGGATAAAACAAATGAGAATATTTTAACGATTCACTGGGAGAGAAGTAATAAAGTACATTGAATTTCCAAAGAGAAGTGGTGTTTATACCTCCTATTTAAAATAACATTAGTATGAATGAGTTATTAAGAAATCATTTTAGAAACCAACAAATGACTGATGTTTCTAGTGTTGTTGTGTGATGTTGGAAAATACTGGTTGATTGATTTTAGACTGAGAAACTCTTTTGGTCTGGTAATTGGCTTAGGACAAATGCAGTAGTCATTCTCTGATTTTTCAGCTAAAAATATCCTTGACAATGTCCTTTTCTAGAAATGGAAAATGTTTTTTTTCTAAATGCACTATACTAATCAGTGTTTATCAGCCTAGATAATGCTGAGAGTTTTGTGCATTTAGAACAAACTTTAAATTTGTTCATAATGCTGATAAAGATTAAAGTGGAAAGTATTCAAATTAAGATTTTATATATGAAAATTTAAAATGTAAAATGATACCTAGAATAAAGTGGCTTTCTCTAATTTTTGATTTAAATTATTTTTGACAAGAGTAACACATTTGTTGAACGTTCATACAGAGTTCATTAGAACCTGTAGAATTGTCTTGCGCTCCACTGTGGGATTTTTTTTTCCTGTGAGGGCTTTATTGAATACCTTTTGAGTATAAGCATTTACAGGTTTTTCATGCAGATGTATAGTTGGGAAGAGCAAATGAGTTTGCAGTTAATCTCATAAAAGTTCAATTAATTTTTTGCTTCTTTTTTTTTAAATGTGTCTGCGGCAAAGTATTAGTTAAAATGCATATGCAAAACTGCCCTCTGCTGGACAGCACGTCTGATTTGCTCTGCTGTATGTCCCATAGTTGCAAGCAATTTACACAGGATAAAGAACCTAGTACTACTAACAGCTAATGGAGCTGCTCCTTTAGATCAAGTGGTAGGGATATCTTTCCAGAGCAGAAGGCTCTTGAGCAGGCTTTTCAAATGGTTCAGCTAAAACCCTCAGCTTATCTTAAAGGTATGCTTGGTTTGGGTACAACTTAAAAGATGATTTACATTTCTCCTTCCCTCTCCCCCCACACCACAACACATGTTTTGTCCAGATTATCTAACTGTAGATTGTTGTAAGCCAGGGTGGGGAGCCTAAGGATCTGGCACCCAATCTCAGGGTTTCTCCCCCAGCTTTGGGGAGCCCTTTCTGTTGCTCTACCTTTGCCCCACCCTGCAGGGCTGGAGTACACAAAATCTATTAGCTTGGTTCTCTTCCCTCCAGGCTCTGGTGTGCAAAGGGAATGTGGGGAGTTGCTTTTGAGTCAGAGGACACATCAGTGAGGGCTGGGTGTGTGTGGTGTTTTTTTTGCTTCTTGCTTGCGTGTGGTTCCCAACTGATGTTTCTGTGGGTCAGTGGTCTCCAACCCAACAAAGGCTTCCCACCCCTATTGTAAGCCATGGTTAGCAGTAGCATTCTACATAAAATTTTATAACAAATAGGCATTTTGAGGAGTAATCTGGAGGGGGCAAAAATGACTTTGGTCCACTTCTGTTTTTCTGTTCCCATCTGGAAGCCACGGGCACTGGTAATGTTCCAAGAAGCAATTTGTAGCAGCCTGATGGCTTCCCAAAGGGACTATTTTGGCAGCCAGGGATTTTCAGAGGATGGTGGTGCCGCAGGGTATGTTTTTTGTCTTTTTTTTTAAACTGCTCTTTTTCTGAAAAATTTCAATTGCGTCCACACTGCTTCATGTTCTTTCGAAAGAAAATCAAAAGAACAGAGGTTTTTCGACATTGGTAAAACTCTTTCTACGAGGAAGAAGCCTTTTTTGGAAAGAGCTCTTTCTGAAAAAGGCATGTGTGGATAGGGAAGAGGGAGTTCTTTCGCAATAAGAGGAAAGAGGAAAAAGCACAGGTGCCCTAGTGATCGTTCCGCCCATAGTAATCACAGCTTACATGCAAGATAGCATCCATTCAGTCTGGACGCTATCTTGAAAAAGCAGTTCGCTTTTTTTGATGTGCTTTGGCAGTGTGGATGCTCTTTTGGAAGAAGTTTTTTTCAGAAGATATCTTCTGGAAAAGCTTCTTCAGAGAGAAGCTTGCAGTCTAGACATAGCCATAGTTGTGCCTTCTTTCCCGTTGCCAGTCCCACGTGCTTGTGACAAGGAGAGATGGATTATTACAGGAGCTACTACAGGTTGAATCTCTCTGATCTGGCAACATGTGGTCTTGAGGGTGATTTTAGTTAGCCAGATGTCTGCTTTTCATGGGTGTAGCCAAGCTTCTGTGGTCATGTAAAGTTTGTTCACAACCACCAGTCCTGATTCTCGGTGTTCTGTGCTGTTGTTGAGCTCTAATTTACCCCTAAGTGTTGGGAAGCGTACTTATTTCCTTATGCCAATACAGTAAAATTGTTTGTTATAAAGAGAGGTGATAAGCCTTGGTTAGGCATACACGTACATTTAGCCATACAGTCATATATTATTAAGCAGCATTGCATGCATTGTTCAGTTTATTCGCCTTACGAAATAAAAATAAAGAGACTCACTTGGTCCTGTGGCTTGGCAAATTCTCTGGTTCAGCATCCATCAGGGTGTTGGACTAGAGAGGTTCAATCTGTTAAATAGCTGTGCATTAAACTTCCTCAAGACAAGGAGAATCTTCCACTAGTTTTAAGTCAGCTTTACATTCAGGAATGCAGGACAACCTGTGAGACACACACACACAGTTCAGCTGAACCAGTTTTATATCTCCTATTGTTCCTCCACCAACATGGTCTAAAGAAGGGTACTTATAAGTAACGAGGAATAAAGTGCTGGGCAATATTTCCAAAACTGCAAGCATGTTTTATATTCCATGGTTACATTTTTTTCACTATGTACATTTTTCTGAAAAGCTGGAGAACAAATAAATATTTTACCTTATGCCTGTTTGGGATTAAATCAAATTATTTCTGGATGTAATTCCACTGAGTCCAATGGAGTTGAAAGACAGATGAATTTTCTACTATATATTAAGGCCTGAAAGACCCATAATTATTAGAATTCTGGTTTATATGGATAATGTAAAATTTCTATGCACTCATTTCTAAAGTAACTATAAGCAAACAAAGACTCCTACAGTAAGCCATAACTTGTTGATGCTGCATCCCACACGTGAATGGAGAAAATACTAGGGCCTATATTTTTGAAATCTTCCACTTATGCTTTAGGTCACAGTGGCAAAAGTGAACTGTGAAAATGAGTTGAAGCTGTGACTCCTCAGCAGTCGTAAAAATCAGGGCCCCACTGTCTGAAGTTGAGAACCCTACATTTGCCAACCTTTGAAAATGTAGGCTACAGTGCATTGAGACTGGCAGAATAGGCCTCATAATGATAGTGCTTTGTATAGTTGTGCTGGATTGCTGTTGGATTTCCTTTCCTGTGATGCCCAAGCTAAAGAAGTGCTATTAATGTATCTCCAAAAACCTGGGGTAGATGATAAAGAGATGCTTATGTTCCATTATGTCAGGGATGGTCAATGATATTTGAAGGGGGGCCTCAGGAGGAAGGGTTTTTAAATTGCAGTAGTTGAAATGGCTCGTGCCTCCCCTGAGCTCCCAGGCATCACGTTAGTGGGGGGAGGGGGGGCGGGCAGGCACGATCAGCAAGCCCTTTCAGATGCTGCTATTTAAAGGGTTCACTGCTCCTGGCTTCACTGCCAGCACACTTCTGTGAGCTGGGAAGCTAGAGCCCTTTTAACTGCTCCTATGGAAAAGGTTCACGCTTTCCCCATGACTGCCATTGCCTGACAACTGTCGGAAAGGCACGAGCCCTTTAAATAGAAACAGTTGAAAGGGCTTGCAGCTCCTGCACCTCTAGTGAAATGCCTGGGAGCTAGGAAGGCTCTCGTGCCTTCTCTGCAGCTGTCAGTCAATGGCAGTCACATGGAAGGCATGAGCCCTCTAAATAGAAGCAGTTGAAATGGCTCACCATGTCCCAGGCTTCCTGGGGTTAAAGGCTGGGGCCAGGAAATGCTGTGTGGGCTGGATCAAAGAGCTAGGAAGGCTGGATCTGGCCTACTGACAGACTTTGGCCCACCCCTACCTTCTGATAAGTGCTATTGACTAACCA